AGGGAAGCGAAGAATTCAATCTCAGCTTCCACGTTGCCAAATTGCATCACCAAACTATGAATATAAAAAAGTTTTAGAACACAACAATTAAAAAATATATACACTCATGCATTCTATCTCAAAAAACAAGGGACTTACTTTGGGTTATGGCGCCATTCCCAACAAAGTTTCAGCAATTTCACCATATCATCATGCGGAATCGCCTTCATTGAGTCTAACATCCGAAGTCGGGTTCTCTCTGGTAGATTTTTTTGAACCAATTCACTAGCTTCAATGATCTTCCACATATGAATGATCATCTTCCTCTTCCGTAATTGGACCCTTTGTTCTACAGCTTTACCTTCATTATTCAACCAAACGTTCAACTGAGATAACACAGCTGTAGGTTGATCCAAATCAATGTCCCCAAGAGTAAACTCAACCTTTGTTCCCTCCGTGCTCTCGCTAATGTCATCGCCAAGCAACATAACTTCATCATCCTCCTTCTCACATTGGTTTCTTTGCACTTCATTTTCCTCACTTCTTTGTCTTTTCACTTCCTTGCCCTCCCTTCTTTTCCTTTGCGGATCCTTTCCCTCACTGCTTTTTCTTTGCAGTTCCTCTCATTCACTGCTTTTTTTTTTCACTTCCTCTCCCTCACTGCTCTTTCTTTGCGCTTCCTCTCCCTTGCTGCTTTTTATTTTCACTTGCTCTCCCTCACTTCTTTTCCTTTGAGCTTCCTCCACCTCACTTGGTTTTCTTTGCACTTCACCCCCTTCAATCCCCTCATCTTCCTTTTCCTCTCCCTCATTTCTGTTACTTGGCCCTTCCTCCTCTTCCTTTTCCTTTCCCTCAAATCTGTTACTTGGCCCTTCATTCCATCGAATGTCATCCATTTCCTCACTTCCCTGAAATAGATGTGAGATAGCATAACGATTCATCCTCTCTTTCAATAAAGCTAGGTCCCTCCTTACTTCCTGCTCAAACTAAGGACCTAAACAATGGTCCAAAAGTTTTTCCATCCGTATGACCTTTAACTCAAGGACATCCTTTTCCCGCTTTACTTAAAACAACTCGGACCTCAACAAGCTTACCACCTTGTTCAACTCATCAAGGTCAGCACATGAAGAAGGAATTGACTCTGCCGAGACGATAGCAGGGCGATCCTGTGGCCAACTCCAATACCTCTTCACTCGGACATAACACCCGCAACTGAACTGATTGTTTTAGAATACAGACAATAGTCATATTCAATCATTCTACTTCATAATTTCATTGAATCTTATAAATAGTTCCAAGGGCTGCAAACTAAACCTCTTTGCTCTGGAAAAAATAATTGTTCAACTTTCTCATCTCGGGAACAGACGTAGTAGTTCTCCATCGCAAAATACGCAGGAGAGCTGTCGGATCAACAATCTTGCAGTAATTCAGGTCCACCATTCTAGGAATTAATTCATATACCCAAATCTATACAATTCACAGGACAAAAGTCATTATTTAAGTTTTAAAGTCCACAAAACATAACTGACATGAACATTATTACCATGAACCTGGAAAGCATACGTGAAACCTTTAAAACTCCAGCCACCCCTTTGCACTTCACCATGCTTATCCTTCTTGCCCTTCTCATTTCTCCAGCTTGTTCCGGTTACCTTACTTTTCCCCTTCCCTCTTCCCTCTTCATTTTCAAAGCTTTTCACATACTTTGTTGGTGCAGAAAACAAACTGTCTTGGGTTTTGTCAAACGACACCGAACCCCATGGAAACCTGTTGAACGCATCCAAGTCCTCTACAAGGGTCAGGTAATTTAGATTGATGTTCAAATG